AAATGCTAAATTTCATTAACTTTTAATGAATCTCCCTATTTAGGTTATTGCTGCTATAMTTTTGTACCAAAACCTGCAACTCAAATGCTTTAAATGTGAAATTTCAGTTGCACTATATGTTAATATATTGCTATTTGCTATATGGGCTTTTAGGTCTTGGCTGGTGGTGGGGTAACATTTTTGACTCTTGAAGGTTTAGTTTATGGTAGGACGTGGAAAAACAATAAAAATTACATCAGGATTTTAGCACCCTATAAATAAGTAAATKTTTGTGTACTCTGCTTCAAGCCCAGAATATAAGGTACAGTCAAAGTGAAATTGTATTATGAAGCCTATGAAAAGAATTGTGGATATTTAAATGTACTGCACAATACTGTATTTATTCATTTGATTCAAAKATTCAAGCCTTTGCCTCAGCAAGTTTCAGGGTATCTCTGACAACCACCATGTTGTGGAGTACTTTTCCTCAGTATCTCTCTGAGGAAAGGTTGGCTCAGCACTTCTAAGGTAAAATCTTTGGCTAACAGGTTTATTTTTTATCAGGGTATGAATAACTTTGGTCAGAAGACAAGTAACAAGACTACCACTCCGCTTCCATCCATGGTGAGGTTCTTATATTAGGATCCTAAAAGTCCTTCAGTCCTACTAAATCCATAAGTAATATAATAAATTATCCCTATTATGTACAAAAAATCAATATGTTTATATGCCATAATAGAGTAATACATGATGCTCCCAAGAACATTTATGTTTACATTCATTCATTGTAATTTAATCGTAGAGTGGACAGTGTCACCCGACACTGCATCGACATCAACCCTAGAATATAAGATAGGGCCAAACTTGCCTCTTCTGTATGAATGAAACCAACCTCTCTCCATRCCAGTTGACTATATTGCAATTGATTATCTTTGTTTATGCTTACAGGTTTTTTTGTTTGTTTGTTTTAGGGTAAGAAAATCTCAAAGTCAGGCCATCACCAAGTCCCACCCAAGGTAAGGTTCCAAGATAGAAAAGTTTAATATTTGGGCTACTGAGTCTGTGTTTATGCCTGCCTAATAGGGTGAATTGTAAATCATTCCGTGAAAAGATGTACTGCTAAAAGAACTTGTTGGTTGTATTAACAAATGCACACAATATAACAATTCAAAGCCAGATAGAAAGCTAAGGAGTGCAATTATCAATAATCAAATGAATATGTCCACAGCTAACTTTCAAAGCTGCAAAGAATGTTATAGGAAGAATATTTTGTGTCTTCATACATTTTGCTATAATTTGGCACTCAATAAGTGTTGAGACTAATTAATATGGACTACAATAGAGTTATCTTCTACAGTTCTTTCTAAATGATAAGCGCTGGAACTCCAGCAGGCGCCAGCTTATTTTGAAAGCACTGTAATAGCTAGTGATAAACCACTTTGTTTATAGGCTAGACTATTTGTAGCCCGTAAGTAAGTAAGCACTCGTGCTTGTAATATAATTTATTTAAAAAATTTCAATTTTGACATTCAATTTTATTTCAATAGGGAATTTACAATTTGATTTTAATCCTAGACTGTTCAGGAATCTGAAAGTGCCTCACCAGAAGATGAAGTTATTCCTTGTTCTCAAAGTTTTTATAAGGTAAATGTTTAATATGCATATAGCAGTATTATATTTTACAAAAATGCAAACTCATGATCAGGCACTTTCAATTGCAAGGAAAGTTGTTACAGACCATACTGAAGTGTTGTATTGGTACCATGTGATTTTGATCGCTGGCATCAATTTCAGAGATCTTGAACAATCATGTGAACATGGGCTTTAGTTTATAGCTTTTTTCTTGTTTTCTCTTTGCAGAAAGAGCAATTTAGCAGTGATGAAGAAAGTGTCAGGTCAGGAGACCCAGTAATCCATAATAGTGAAGGACAAATAGGTAAAAATGATGTCACAGTTCCTTTTGGCAAAATTATGAAGTCAGAAGTTTTCACTTAGAATACACACCGCAGTTGTCAGAAACTGTCTAAGGTTTATAAGCCATTCTTAAAAAACTCATACANGAACCATTGGTGAATCTTCTTGTAAACAAATTCTCTGTGCCCAAAAGAAGTCTAGTTGATGTTAATTACATAGATCTCTCTGAAGTTGTTGTAAAAAAATTTCTGAAGCAGGGTTATGTTGAAGTGAAAAATGATGTCACAGTTCCTTTTGGCAAAATTATGAAGTCAGAAGTTTTCACTTAGAATACACACCGCAGTTGTCAGAAACTGTCTAAGGTTTATAAGCCATTCTTAAAAAACTCATACATAATTAAAGAGTTACTAGGCCAATAGAATGAGTCTCTTTGGTCACATGCATGGACCTTTATATCTGATAAAACACTCCTTATTAGTATTTTTTATATAAAGAATACTAATAAGGGTGACCTTTATCAGATATAAAGTTCCATGGCCCTAGCAAAGGTCTCAGGTTTGAAACCTGATCAAATGCAGAATGTCAACCAATTTCAGTGAACAGCCAAGAGCGCTTCTATTTTACGTTATGCGTATTCAGTGTGGGATGACAAGAGTGCTTTGTAAAGTGATTCGCGCATGATCAGTTTGCCCCATTTATCTCTGAACATATTTGTACGGCAATTTCTCCAAGAATTTTAAAGGATTTGAGTTTCAAATTAGTGTTGGATTTTTTTAAGCCGTTTAAAACACTCTCTCTCGTGTTTTAAACTATACATATTGTTAAAACTGCCTGGTTGAAAATACATTACAAATTGTTAAATTATCATGCTGTCGGTTAGTTTCGCCGAGGCCGTCACAATCGGTGTTTGCTTTACGCGTTTCAAGAGCCTAGAAGAAATGCCGTATTTTACCGCTGCGGCGGGGTTTCAAAACTGATCATTTTAATTTTAATTACT